TCTCTCGATATAATGAAGATTTTCTATTTTAAATATAAACTTTACTATATTAAGAGTTTTCAATATAGTGAATATCTTGATATAGTGAAGAAAATTCTTCAGCCCAACAACTTCACTATAACGAGAGTGACTTGTAATATGTAGAGATTGAAAATAAAATGCTTTTAATTCTGATCAATTCGGTACTTATAAAGTTTTTCTCTAATAATGACAACCTTATTCATTTGCTAACATTCATCACAAATACAGATAGAAGAGAATTCAGTCAAATGTCAATTTGTCGTATAATTCAACGATATAAAAAAAAAAGAACGACTAAAAAATATATTTCGTTAAAGATGCAATTCAAAGTTTTGATATTAAGGTTTGTGGCATGAGGATCCATTAATTATGATAATATATAGATATGATTCCGGATATTCTTTAGAAACAAAAAAAAGTTTTTATCCAATTGAATTATACAAATTAAATCATGTAATTATAGCATGCATGTGGCATGAAATTTTGAATTTGGCATGCCAAAATTTTTTTATCATGCCAAGAATCCTATTCGATATTACTGTATTAGAGCTACGTAGCTTAAATCTGAAATTAAATATGGTATTAACTATCAAAGTTTTTAAACGAGACGATACGGTTAGTTACGTAAAACCTATAAAAGACCGCGTAAATTTTCTTAAAAAAATCAGACGTTTTATACTTTCGTGTAACGTAACTATCATTTCACGGATATAAAAGGATAAAAAATTAAAAATTGACCCTCTAATTTTTTTCGACTTTTAAAGGTCTAAAATAGAGATTATAGATTTTAAGGTCAGTAATATTTGCTTATAAAGTGGTTTATTTTACTTAAAAGTACTGTATAAGAAATACAAATTAATAAAGTTTAGTTGGTTTTCCTTCATTACATCTTTTTAATAATTTTCAAATTTTTAAAATAAAACTTCAATCTTAGATCGTTGTGGGATAAAATTTTACACTTTAATCTATTCTGCGAAGTAATTGTTAATATTTATTAGATGAATCATGTTCCAACAAGGGTTTCAACAAGGATTTCAACAAGGGTTCCAACAAGGTAATAAATAAAATCAATTTAAAAGATATTTAAACGATTATGCGTTAGATTATACGTAATGAATTATTGTAATTGATTATTTTTGCTTTCGTCATTTAGTTGTTTCATATGTGGCCGGAACATCAGTGCTTCGGCAGTATGATGTTGGGGATCAAATTGCTAGTGCAGGTTTATGGAAAATACATTCAGGTAAGAATAGTTTTCGTACCATTCTTTTTGAAATCAATTCTGTTCTTTTATTAAATTTATCCTTTCATATTAACAGGGACTAAAAAGACAACTGGTCAAAAAGTAGCTATATTTGTAAGTTAAATTACTAGCCATGAACTTTGTTGACGTCACAATACATCTGATAGAATTTAAAGCCCAAATATATTAATTAGTTGGTTTAAAATTTTTAAGATATTTGAAAAAAAGATTTTTGATAATACTTTGCTAAAGAGTTATGAAAAAAAAGAAACGGAAAAAGTTTATCAAGTTTTAAAGAGAGAGGTAATATATCTTGTTAAATGTCGCAGATCATAATGAAATCGGATTACCGCATTCTACCGTAAATAAGCACCATCCCCTCTACCCCATTTTTTTAAATACCAGATTAGCGGGAATAATTTGGCTAAAGATTTTATTACGATTCCCACTAATCTGACATTTAAAAAGATGGGTGGAGAGGATAGTGCTTATTTACGGTAGAATATGGGTAAAATGAAATAAGAGGTTTCTATTTGACCCTCTAAAACCCACTTATACTTGTTTATTATAAAACTTTATAAAACTTACCCTTAAACCCTAATCCTACCCCAAAAAAATGCACCCCAAAAATTGTATTTTTCGGTAGCTTGTCTATTTTATACTATCCCTCATTTCATTTTAATCTGATTTAATTTTAATCTGCCACATTAAATGTTCACAATTCACAATTTTTCATCTTAACCGTCTTTGATCCTGTTTTTAGGCTAGTCAGCTCGCAAGACTTCGTCATCCTTCACTACTTGAAGTTGTTGAGGCAGTAGAAGAATCAAGAACTGTAATTACATTCGCAACAGAACCGATTTTAGCATCTCTTGCTAATTTACTTGGAAATACTGAAAATTTATCAATGGTTCCTGATGATATCAAAAACTTTGAACTGGATGAGTTAGAGGTATTTTAACGTGCTTTTTTTGAAAAAAAAAAATCCAAGTATTTATTTATTTAAGCTGATTTTAAATTAATTTGGCCGTTTATATTAGATTCAGAAAGGCTTATTGCAAGTTGGCAAAGGCCTTCAATTTTGTCATAATGATGCAAAAATTGTTCACTCAAATCTCGTTCCAGAAGCCATATTTGTAAATATTAAGGTGTGTTATTTTCAAGGGATTCTCATTTGTTAGAATTTTTTTTTGAATGCTAGAGCTAACTTTATCATGACTCTATTTTTTTAGGGCGATTGGAAAATTGGAGGGTAATGAATCTATTATTTTAATGACATGAATTAATTTTGTTTATATTTTTCCGAAAATCTAACTTTATTATAACGTAATACAGTTTCGGATTTAGTACTTTTCTCAACAATCCAGATTCACGACCGGACTATGAATATCCTGATTATGATTCACGGATACCATGTTATGCTCAAAAAAATTATGATTATATGGGTAAATTTCACGAACTATTGCATATCTGACTCCTATTGTGGATTTATGTTGATCAAAAAAATTTTTATTCTTTGTTGTGTAGCTCCAGAGTTTGTGTTAGATGAATCACTTGAATTTGCAAATGATATGTTTGCTCTTGGTTGTTTAATATACACAGTACATAGTCATGGAAGACCTCCAATGGAAAATCGCAATAGTATACATAATTATCGAAAGAATATTGAAAGGTTATCATCGACTAAGTATGACCATCTTCCTTATCATCTTCATGGTAACCTTTGAACAACTCTTTTTGGTTGTTTTTCTCTCTTTTTTTTCTTTTTTCTTTTTTTCCCTCCCTTTTCTTTCCTTTTTTCCGGTTTTTGTAGTAAACTTACTTTTTTAATAATTTAAATGTTAATGTTAAGTTTTATTTTATTTTCGAAGAGGTCATGTATCATTTGATAACTCGTTACCCATCACAGAGAATGACTGCTGCTGAGTTCCAGACAAGCAAATATTTCGATAATGTTCTTGTTTCCACTGTCAAATTTTTCGAAAGCTTTCCCGAAAAGACCAAGGATGACAAAATTAGTTTTATGAAAGGACTAGTTCGAATATTACCCCAGTTTCCTGAAAGAGTTTTGTTACGCAAGGTATTAGAAGTTTTTTTTTAGCAAATAGTCATGGGACATAAGAATACTGTTTTTAGTCTGCTAACGCATATAATGTTTTTTAAGATTTTACCATGCCTTCTTCAAGAAATTAAGGATCATAGTCTTTTACCCTATACTCTTCCTAATATTTTCTTTATCTCTCAAAAATTGTCATCTATTGATTTTTGTGAGAAAGTCCTTCGTCCCTTAAAGCCGATTTTTGTTGTTTCCGAGCCCGTGCAAAACTTAATCACATGTCTAGATCAGATGGAATTGTTTAAACAACAAACTTCGTCTTCAATTTTCAAGGATGGTAAGTACTGATGGTGCTAATATCGTATCAATTTATATCAATTTTTTATTTTTTTTATTTTTTATGACCGATTATTCTATTATTACAAATTCGACAGATGTAATGCCTTTAATTTATAATTCTTTGGAGGCAAAGTCACCTGTAATACAAGAGAAAGTCCTTAGGGTTATACCAACGATAGTAGATTCGCTAGACATTCTTACTATTA